GGACATGAATTTGGGCCTGCTTAGGCAGAATGCTGTGGAAAGAATATGTCCACCGAAGTTCATGCTTTGGAAACTTAATCCCCAATGTGACTGTGCTGAGAAGGAATTTCTAAGAGGCATTCAGAGTGTGAGAGCTCCATCTTCCCTTGTGTATGAAAGTGTGGTCTCCTACCATTGGGTGTTCTGTCATAGGATGATACCACAAGAAGACTGTCACCACCAGATTCAGGCACCCTGAGCTCATACTTCCAGAACTGTAAAAAAAATAAGTGTCTTTATGTTGTGGGATATTTGTTTCACCGTGTGAAGAGGTGTTTCTGCCTAAGGCCCCTTCTGATTGGTTTAATAAAGAGCTGAATGGCCAATAGCGAAGCAGGAGAGAATAGGTGGGACTTCCAGGCAAAGATGAATCTAGGCGTGCGAGAGACGCAAGCAAGACACTGAAGAATTTGGACACCTGGTACAGAGGAGAGGTGACTGAGCCATGTGACAGAGCATAGATTAATAGAAACAGGTTAATTAAGGTTGTAAGAGCTAGTTGGGGAAAAGCCTAAGATAAGGTCAAGCTTTCATAATTAATAATAAGTCTCTGTGTTGTTATTTTTGAGCTGGTGGCCCAAAGGAAAATTAGCTCAAAAGGACAAGTGCTTGCCACCAAGCCTGAAGACCTGAATTTGGACCCTGGGACCCACGTGTTTCTCCCACAAGCTGTCCTCTGTAGGTGGAGTTTCTCTGTGTCTCAGCAGCCACTCCCAAATAACTAACATGGAGACTTAATTGTAAATGCTCAGCTGATAGCTCAGGCTGGTTACTAGCTAACTCTTACATTTTAAATTAACCAATATTTCTTATCTACCCTCTGCCACATGTCTGTACCTTCTTTCAACATGGCACATTCACCTTGCTTCTCTCTGTGTCTCTTGCTCTCTCTACTCCCAAGATTCCACCCTTCTTCTTCCCAGTGTCTTCTGTGTCTTGCTGTCCTGCCTGTACCTCCTCCCTAGCTACCGGCCAACCAGCTCTTTTGTTAAACCAAGCAGGAGGCACCTTGGCAAAGACACATCTTCACAGTGTACAAAAAGACTATTCTATAAACAGTCCTCTGACTTTGATATTAGCAGTTTGGGCTACTTGGTCTTACTCTGCTTTTTAAAAGTATAGCCATCTATGGTGCCATTCATCTGTCTGGTAGTTAACTTTTGTATTCGTCCATTTTCAATTACGATAGTGAGAACCTGAGACTTTATGAGGAAAACAGACTGGTTTAGCTTTCAATTTTGCAGACTGAAGGTCATGGGCTGGGCCAGTCATTGTTATTGATATTCACGGTGGCAGATGTGGGGGGGGTGGAGAGAACTGCTTCACTCCTTCCTAGGGTCATTCCACTAATGACCCCTCCCCATTAGGCTCCATCTCTTAAAGTCCACTCCTTCTTGACATCACCACTCTAGGGACTAAGCTTCCAACGCACCAGCCTTTGGGAACACACCCAAACAATATCCAAACTATAGCAACTTCTCCAAACTCTGGCCTTCACCGCCCAAGTCTCATCAATAAAATATGCACATAGTACCTCCCATGTGTAATGTTCATTCTAAATTCATAACAGCACAGACACATGAGTGTATCAGTCTTCCTTCTAGAGTCTTGTAAGAAAGCACAGAACACACAGGAGTCTCTAATACCCAAGAGCTTGTGATGTTATGTGAAGTTGACAAGCTCTCACAGATGCTCGAGAGGAATCACTATTCAACATAAGTTACTATGTATGGCTGTTCCCTAGGTCTGTGAAGTCTAGGAGCACAGTCAGTCATTATATATATATATATCACATATATATATATATATATATATATATATATATATATATATATATATATATATATATAAATCACATGGGACTGCAAAGTCTAAAGGGAAAGAGTGAAAGAGACCAGCTTTGTCTCTGTGCCTTTATGGCTGAAGTGAAATTTGAGGAAGTAGAAGCATTTAGGATGAGCTAGACAGCAGATGAAGGAATGCTGAAGGAGAACAAAGACATAAACATAGGAATCCCAAGGATGTGGTCTGGAAGCACAGTGTTCCCTTGGCCAAAGCACAGGAGCAAGTTAGAGTGTTCAAGAGGAATTACAGCTGGAATACAAGGCTGGTACCAGAACAAGGAAGACAACGAGTGCCAGGCAAGGCATCCAAGTCCAGGTCATCGGTGCCATGCTGAGTCCTCCACACTCTGCCTGGCGGGCACATCCATGTGAGCCACCAGTTGGAATGCCCTGGGAACTTTTTGTTTCTGGCCACTTTAAGTTAGCCTGTCAAAACTTTGGTTTGAGAAATAGCAATTTTGAGAATTTTGTAAGAAATTCATGATTACTGTAAAAGACGTTGGGAAATGAGGGAAAGGTATAGAGCAAGTAAAAATTGTTCTGCACCCTAACATCCTAACCATTGGTAATGCTGACATTTTCCTGCATCCTAACATCCTAACCATTGGTAATACTGACATTTTCCCCCATCCTAACATCCTAACCATTGGTAATGCTGACATTTTTCCTGTATCCTAACATCCTGACCATTGGTAATGCTGACATTTTCCTGCATCCTAACGTCCTAACCGTTGGTAATGCTGACATTTTCCTGCACCCTAACATCCTAACCATTGGTAATGCTGACACTTGCCTGCATCCTAACATCCTAACCATTGGTAATGCTGACATTTTCCTGCATCCTAACATCCTAACCATTGGTAATGCTGACATTTTCCTGCATCCTAACATCCTAACCATTGGTAATGCTGACATTTTCCCGCATCCTAACATCCTAACCATTGGTAATGCTGACATTTTCCTGCATCCTAACATCCTAACCATTGGTAATGCTGACATTTTCCTGCATCCTAACACCCTGACCATTGGTAATGCTGACATTTTCCCGCATCCTAACATCCTAACCATTGGTAATGCTGACATTTTCCCGCATCCTAACATCCTAACCATTGGTAATGCTGACATTTTCCCACATCCTAACATCCTAACCATTGGTAATGCTGACATTTTCCTGCATCCTAACATCCTAACCATTGGTAATGCTGACATTTTCCTGCATCCTAACATCCTGACCATTGGTAATGCTGACATTTTCCCGCATCCTAACATCCTAACCATTGGTAATGCTGACATTTTCCTGCATCCTAACATCCTAACCATTGGTAATGCTGACATTTTTCCCTCCCCATTTTGTTTCTGCTCCTAAATGGGTTTTCTGGCCTAACACAATTCGAACACTCCCCTATGGTAGAAGAGTCCTTCTGAAAGCACAGTGTTGTATCAGGAACATGTGGTCTATTTGCCAGTTTTCTTGATGTTGAGCACATCAATTGTTCCTATTGACTTTGTGTTTTGTATATATATATATACCAGTTGTGGTGGCACACACCTTTGATTCCCCAGCACTTGGGAGACAGAGGATCTGTATGAGACCCTGTCTCAAAAATTAATTAATTAATTAATTAAAGTTCCTTATTGATGGACAAGAGGTTCATACACTGCCCCCCCCCCTTTTATACTGTGCACTCTTCCAAGTACTGCAGGGACAAAGTCGCATTTAATCCTTACCGTAGTACAAGGATGTCAATGTAGATTCATATCCCTATTTTACAGATAAGCAAGTTACAAGAAAGATTAGGCAACTTGGACAAAAGAGCAATACCCCAAACATCAAACCAAAGAAGATACATCTAATAAGAAGCAGCAGAGCTTTCCCCAAAACTTAGTGTCCTTGGAAAAACTGGGTCCAAAACCGTAAATATCAAGGTTACATCAGGAAACTATTTCAGAAAAATAAATGACTCTTTTTTGCTTTCCACAAAGACTCCGATGTTCAGACGGAAAACGGGTTTCTAACTTAACAGGTAGTGACTAGTAACTGTTTCTTGAAGCTTTGTGTAAGAACAGTGAATGTTCTGGGGAGGTGCCGCGCCAGATTAGTTCCCCAGCACCTCCACGCAGGGCCTAAAATCACCAGGAAACTATAGTGGCAAGATGCAGACTGGGGTGGCTTCATGTAACTACTGAGTAACTTCATCCAGCCCTGACGCTGTGGGCTCTACTTTTATCCCTGGAGCTACCGGTGGTTTGTTAGCAAGCTGAGCATTTACCCAGACCAGCTTCCTCCTTCTTCCATAACTGAATGAATGGTTCAACAATCATAGTAAGGGTTGGAGTAGCAGTTGTTGGTTCTTGGGCAGAAGTAAATCCTGTCTATCTTCAGGTAAACCTAACCCCAAAGCCTCCATTCATTCCTATGTCCTTTGATTCACAATGCCCTTCTTGCTGGCTCTTCATAAAATACTGAATGGTTAGGAAGGAGGCCTCTAGGGCAGAGGGAGCTCCATTCCTGCAAGAATGAGTCCTGTTTCCGATCATACAGTCAAGCATACCTCAGTGTGGTATGCTAACCTCCTTAGACTCGTGCATCCCCATACCTGACAGTTGTGCTCAGAGTGTGGAGCAAGTCCATTAAAACAATAATCCAGCGTGTGGGTGTGGTGGTGGTGGTGGGGGTTGCAGTCTTTTTATGCTTCCAGAAGGCTTATCAAACCCTTTCCAGAAGAGAGCTGGCAAAGAATTGTGAAGAGGTGAAACGACAGTAATTGTGGAAGGATGTTGAGTCATGTTATATAAATGGTTGGTCATCGGAGGCTGCAATTTAAAATTCCCAAATGAACCACAGACTATAAGGTGGTGGTGGTAAGAAGCACCTGAAAGGGTCCCTGTTGTCTGTCTGTCTTTATTTATTTGTTTGTTTGTTTAATTTTTGTCCCAAATTCAAGAATGGGTGAGTCTGTGTCTATAGCTACCAAAAAGAAAGCAGGAATAGGGAGCTTGGAATTCAGTGTGATGGTTTCACAATTTTTCTTTATTCCCCCTGCCCCCCGCCCTGCTCCTGCCCCCTTGGGAATGTTCCATTTTGACATAATAACAAATCTGTTTATGTTTGCAAAGGATTAGCTACGGATCCTGCTTCTGGAGGAAAACTCAGACAAGGATTTAACAAATCTCCTAAAAAAGATTAACTCCTAGAGGCCAGGTAAGAACAAAGCCACATGCATCCCAGTGTAGCGGGCCATGTAATATTGTGCAGGATCCAGTGAGTGGACCTCTGAGGGAAGAGGCCTAGAGAAAGCAAGCCCTGAGAGGGACTGGCAAAGTATGCTCTTGAAGCCCAGGACAACCTCGGGTTTCATTCTTTGGGGACAACCTCAGGTATCATTCTTTAGGTACCAGCTGCCTCTGTTTTGAAGCAGTATTTCTCTCTAGCCTGGAATACAACAAGTAACTAATCTGGGTGGTTATTGAACACCAGGGATCCACCAATCTCTGCCTCCCTAGCCCTGGGATTATAAACACACTTCACCATTCCTGGCTTAAAAAAGAAAGGAAGGAAGAAAGAAGCACAGGTTCTGAAGATTAAAATCCCTTCCTCACGATTGCAAAGCAGTCACTTTACTGAGCTATTTTATGTCTTGACTGGATAGGAAAGGAATACTACTTCCCTTTGACCTGGAAGCTATTGACTTTCCCATTTTTTATAAATCTACTTCCCCTTTTAAAAAGGTATCTCCCACTCACATCCATAGACTCCTACATCTATCTCCATCCTTGACAGTTCTGCTGGGTGTGCACTGTGATTTCACTTGAGAGACAAGGTATCTCATGGTATGAAGGCTTGCTTAGAGACTAAGCAATCATGCTTCCCGAGACTTCAAAATCTGGAGGCCCTGGTTACCTAATATTTTCTACGTGGAGACTGAGGTAACACTCATGTCCTTTCTTCTGTCCTCAGACTGGCTTCCTGTAGCTCTGCAGCCTGGATGGTCGGTCACCCAGAAACCACCCACCACAGAAGGCCAGAAATGTCTATTCTCATCTGGCATCGTTAGAACAAGTGATAGATATTAGCTTTCGAGTTTATTTACTCCTTTGACACTTTCCAAAAGTTAGTAAATTTATCAGCCCATATCAGGATGGGGGGCTCAAAGATTCAAAGATTTGCTTGAAGTGTCCTTAAGGCGTTGAAGAAAACAATGTGTTTTTGATATTTATATCTTTTTGTGAACTAGTCATTGGAGAACTACAGTTACCTGCTAGGAAATATTTGTTTGTTTGTTTATATAATGTAGGCTGGGCTCAAAGTTGTAGAGGTCTGGCTGCCTCTACCTCCCAAGTGCTGGGATTGAAGATGTGTGCCACCATGTTCAGTTCCAGACTATATTTCTTAGAGTGGAGGGAAAAGGTTGAAGATACTTTCTTTCTCTGTGAAAGAAATCTCTAGCACACTGGTTCTCAACCTCTCTTATGCTGCGACCCTTTAATACAGTTCCTCATGTTGTGGTGACTCCCAACAACAAAATATTTTTGTTGCTACTTCATAACTGTGATTTTGCTACTGTTATGAATCGTAATGTAAACATCTGTGTTTTCTGATGGTCTGTGTGTTGCCACCCACAGGTTGAGAACCACAGCTCTAAGGGCTTTCTTTGTACTACATTCTATCACAGCTAAAAAACCTGAAGTCCCCATTCATTTTTTTTAATTTTATAATTAATTTAATTTTACATATCAGCCATGGATTCCCCTGTCCTCCCTCCTCCCGCCCCCACCTCCCACCCTCCCCCCAATCCACTCCCCATTCCCATCTCCTCCAGGGCAAGGACTCCCCTGGGGATTCAGCTCAGCCTGGTAGATTCAGTCGAGGCAGGTCCAGTCCCCTCTGGACCCATTCATGTTTTTATCATAGCTTTGTTTATACAGTTGTGTTGGGAGGTGAGTCAATTCTTCCTTCTCTTTGGAATCTTAAGGGTCAGGAAACATCCTTCTGTAGAGTTATTTACATTTAGTTTGTACTTCTTAGTTCAAGAACATACTCTTAATTGAGGACTTTAATTAGGAAAATTAAGCCATGTTCTCTGTCAACGTTTTAGCAAAAGAATCCTGGGCTACTCCCACTGCCAGTGCAGCGTACTGAAATGTTAGTGATCTGGACCATGGGGACCAAATGCCATTGTTTCATGTACAGGAAAATCATGTATTTTCTGCAACTGACCAAAGACTACAGACTATGTAAAGGTATTTGTGGAAGCGTCTGTGACCAGACCTTGGCTGAGGTTAGCTATTGTTTGGGGAGACTGCCTTCCCACCCAGAGGAAAGGGGGACTGTGGGAACTTAGATATCCCAGGGCGGTGAATTCGATTCCATGAGGTTATCTGACTGCCTCATTGTCCACTGTGGGTCAGCTGTGGCTTACAGACCCTGGTCTCATGGCTGATCCCATAGTATAAGCTTCCCGGTTACGTCATTGACTTCAGCCCAGCCCCACCTTGGGCTTCTTGACAAGACTTTTTCCATATACAAACGAACTCAGGGCCTCCCTTTCTTTCAACCCCCTCCCATTTAGAACACACACACACACACACACACACACACAGAGAGAGAGAGAGAGAGAGAGAGAGAGGAGAGAGAGAGAGAGAGAGAGAGAGAGAGAGAGAGAGAGAGAGAGATGGGGGGGAGTCATATCTAGGGGATATAATGTTTCCTGAAGAAATCCCAATAAGTAATAAGTGGAGGTACCAAAAATCAATTGTAAACACTACTGTGAAACTGAGTCTAGGTAACATGGGAGAGATCACTCTGGTGGCTATACCTGTACATCAGAAATAAAACATACAACACTCTAAGTGCTGAGAATGTGACCAAAGCTTATAGGCTTCTTATGTCATCTTTGCTCAAAGGAGGTAAAAGTTCTGATGGGTGCTGATGCTAAAAAGTAGTTTCTGGAGAAGTAATGACCAGAAGGAGGCGTGAGGGAGCCAGGAAGGTTTTCTACGTTAATGGGAGTGTAGCCTGTGTTGACGTCGGTGCCGCTAAATGAAAAAAATGCAAGCCAGAGTGCTAGATGCTTAACGTTTATTATATGTAGGATATATATGTTGGGAAAGACAGTCTCAAGACGAGATACAGTCTTCAAAGGTTAGGTTTTACACTTTCAAAATCGATTAACAAGGTATCAAGTGAGGGAGGTTACAAGTACGGTTACATTTTCAAAACAATCCTCGGGATACAAACTAACAACTTAAACTAGTCAACTACTACAGGTACATTTTTCAATTGGGTGATTACAAACACAATCACCGGGATACAAACTAACAACTTAAACTAATCAACTACTACAAATACATTTTTCAATTGGGTGATTACAAACACAATCATCGGGATACAAACTAACAACTTAAACTCATCAACTACTACAGATACATTTTTCAATTGGGTGATTACAAACACAATCATCGGGATACAAACTAACGACTTAAACTAATCAACTACTACAGGTACATTTTTCAATTGGGTGATTACAAACACAATCATCAGGATACAAACTAACAACTTAAACTAATCAACTACTACAGATACATTTTTCAATTGGGTGACTACAAACAGTACTAACGGGACTTTTAGCAGCGTTGAGTACCGCATTAAGATAGACAAAGAGAATTCTTATCTAATACACTTATTTTTCTAATTCCAGTATATTGTTTTAAATTCCTGTTAAAGACATGAGCATGAGAGTCGGGGAGACACTTCTGACTAATGCCTCCAGTATTTTACTACTTAACTTGGTTACACAGTGATTTCTTTTCCTCTCAGATCTAACTGACAACTAGTTTTGTCTCTAAGATAAATGAAGTCATAACTCACATTACAACAACATCACATGAAAAATATTGAGGACTACACTAAAAATTCACGTTAAAAATGAAGAAATCAATAGCTTCACAAGGAACTTTTCCTATAAACTACAAAGTAGGCTACAAGAAGAGTAACTAAACTACATCCAACCCTGAAGGCAGGCGAGTCCCTGAAAAGAAAAGAAAAGAAAAGAAAAGAAAAGAAAACACACAATACACCGCCTAGTTCTAAATACCATACAAAGGTTACCCTCTTCTCTTAAAAATATCTTTCAAGTTGGAGAAATCCAAGCCTTTCCATCATGTCCTTCCTAGGCGGTGCTACACACAAAGTTACCTAGTCAACATCATTACAATAAAATTCAACACGATAAACCATTTACAAAATAGCAGCTGTCGTTTTGGATCTTGGTTGTGATTATATGAGAATAATATGAGGATATAATATGAGGATAATAATATGATAATAATACGATAATATTTGCAGAATACGCACGCGCTCACTAAATTTGGTACAAAGCATCAATACTAAGGATATATATTGGCACAATGCATGCAGTTAGAGAATTCTTTTTCTCAAGCTAGTAAATCGCGAATAAGCTAAAGCCCCAATCCTGTTTTCCAAAGCTTCCTCCTCCCAAACTGTAACTGATGTTTCAAACTGTAACTGATGCTTAAAGCATCTTCCGCAAGCTAAACGCCTTCCTAAGAATCAATTTATCTGAAAGCGTGATGGAAATGGGGCAGGATGGCGGTGTTGGTGCCAGTTGTAAAAACGTGGGGGATAGGGGGCAGCGGGAGCTGGCCCAGATTCACAGCGCTCACTGCTATTTGGGCTTCTGGTGGCAGCGGCTGTGGCAGCGGCTGTGGCATCGGCTGCGGCAGCGGCTCTGGCTGCGGCAGTGGCTGCGGCTGCGGCTGCAGCTGCAGTGGAGGTGGCTGTGGTTGTGGCGGCTGCGGGGGCAGCTGCGGGGGTAGCTGCGGTGGCAGCAATGGTGGCTGCAGCTGCAGCGGCTGCAGCGGCTGCTGCGGCTCAGGCTGCAGCTGAACCTGCAGCTGCGGGTGTGGCTGCTGCTGCTGTGGCTGCTGCTGCGGTGGTGGTGGTGGTGGTGGCTGCATCTGCGGCTGCGGCTGCTGCGGTGGCAGCAGCGGGGGTGGAGGCGGCAGCGGCGCTACATGCTGCTGCGCCAGACATGTGATTGTATGGGGCATTGGTTCCCCGGGCCCCATAGGGATGGTGTTAGTCACAAAACCATTCTGGGGGGGAGGAGGGGGGATTTGCCAAAACCCCAACAGTGAGGAAATCTCCAGAGAGGCAGGAATCGTTATATTCACAGCATCTACCACCAGCTCTTTGGGCATAGTGACTTTCCCGAGGCCCTCCTTAGCCATCTCAAAACATGGGCTGAGTTTGAGCGGCGACTGAGGCTCTTGCAGAGGCAATTCCTCAAAGAAACCCATGTTGCAAAAGCCTTTGGCCTCTGCTTTAATCGGCAGGCCAGCAAGTGGGGCAAATGAGGTAGAAGGAGGACTGTACTTAGGCTCCTGCAGGGTGTGGGGAGGAGAGGTGGGAACTACCCCAGGGTGCAGAGTGACAAGCTGCTCTGGCATTGGCGGCATAGGCTGGGGGACCTGTTCTGGGGGAGCAAGCACTAGACCATGAACCTCGGGTGGCAAGCCACCTGCAAGCCCGTTCTGCACGGGCACCCCTAGCTGGAAAGGAGGCATGGCAGTAGCCTTCAGCTGGAAGGACGGCGCAATGGTAGGAAAGGTGCCCATGTATTCCCCTGCCTGCATGCTCTCTTGCATCAGCTCCTGCGAGTGCGTCTTCTTGGTGTGACGAGTGAGGTGGTCTTTGCGCCCAAATCGCTGGGCACAGAACTGACACAGGAAGTCCTTGCATCCTGTGTGGACCACCAGGTGGCGGCGCACATCCTTCCGGGTGTAGAAGCATCTCTCGCAATGGTCGCACTGGTGTTTCTTCTCCCTGGTCGCATGGTGGGACTTTTCTTCCCTGTGAGCCTTGAGGTGGCTCAGCAGGACCTCGGTGCTCCCCAGCTCTGCAGAGCAGACCTTGCAGATGAGACCTCCACCGCTGGCGGAATGCAGGGCCACGTGCCTCTTGTAGCCCAGCATGGTGTGGTACTTCCTGCGGCAATCCTGGCAAATGTAGGAGATCTTGTTGGGGTCGTGGGTCTGGAGGTGATTCTTCAGGTGATCCTTGCGGTTGAATGACTTCTCACAGTGAGCACACTGGTGGTTCTTCTGGGGTGAGTGTGTGGCCATGTGTCTGGAAGCAGAAAAGGGGGTGGGGGGGAAACAGTTCACAACAGAATTAGTTTATGAACGAAGGCATGGAGAGAACACAGTCAAGATGCGACTAGTTATTTTCTCAAGGTCTTCGTGACATTTTCACTTAGCAACTACTTGGCTGTATTTTCCAATTGCATACGTTTTATCATTTAAAAGGGCAAGAATTACTAAAAGCCAGATTCAACTTTATACCTGTAAGAAGTATTGACAGATTGTTTTCCTGTTATATAAGGCAGGGGACATGGCTAAAGGGTGAGAACCAATACAACAGTCATTTGGGATATCTGAAATACACAGTGGTTTCCATGTTCTTGATGTACTTAAATATATTCAACAGCTCCGCTGCAGAAAGGGGATTTGGACTGCATCAGATGGCCATGTCATCCCATCAGATGTCTACTTTTGCCTAATAGGGATGAATATAAAGGCAGGACTGGCTTGCAAACTTGGTATTTAAATCATTTTCTATTTGACTTGGTATTAATGAGCAGGACCCCAAAGTTCTGTTCAGGGTTTTCTATTGTTGCCTTTCCCACCCATCCTTTGTAGGAGATTTAATCATCTCTCACCCATGGTCAAATATGGATAACTTAACCTGGCATTTCCTACCCAATTCTGTGCTATCCCTGAGTGGGACATAGCTTGGTAGCGGTTCATTTGTTCCTGTGGCTAAAGAGTTGACTCTTTCCCCTGCCTGGCATCCAATCTTCCCATTGACATTTACTCTTTACCTTACTTCCTTACGCAAGTTGAAATGATCTCACGATGGTTCCTTCCCTTCCCTTCTCTTATCTCACAATGCATGAACTACAGGCTTCAGTATGTCCTGTGGCTAGCACAAATGCATCACTTTTGCACAGCAGGTAGATCACCTCAAGACTCAGAAGTCTTCACGGTGCTCATTCACAGTAAGACTTCCTTAGAGGTCAGCCTGCCCCACCAAATCAGCTTTTCTGGTCCTTGGCTATCTCTTCTTAGCAGCTAGCTGTTATGGTACTGGGACCCACCTTCTCTTTCTGGGTGAGCAAGTCAGTTATTTTTTTCTTCTTCAATCTCTGCTTACTAAATAGGTTGTGATGGTTGGGAACTGGAATGGAATGCTGCCCTACCGCCTTGAAGACAAACCTGAGCATCCTGCCATCTCGCCACTTTCCAATGCCTTAAAAGAGCATGGACTCTGGCCAGGGAGGCTGGAAGAGCTGGGGCAGGGACAGTGGATAACCATACCCTGCTTCCTGCTTTGCCCTACTTTCCAGCTTGACGGAACAAGTCACTTCTCCTGAACCACCACTTCTCCAACAGTGTGTAAGGCACCAGTTATTCTTACCAGGGTATTCCTAACTGATTCCATGTATTGCAATAATCTGTTTGCTCTACTGTCTTTTTTCCTCCCTGGGTCTCCCATAGAACCCTGGGGTGGTCCCAGTGAAGCTAAGGCTACCCTCTGGGTTTCAGTGATGGTGCCCTACATGTATGCAAAATGAATCTGATGCTGAACGGGGAGCCCTTGACACAAAATCAGTGCACATGGTAGCCACTTGATATGGTTACTATGACAACCAGAGAATGGCCCTACAACAGAAGATATTTGAATTTTAAAATACAGAAGCATTTTCAGTCTCATTTTAAACATCAACTTATATTACATTATCAGTGACAGTGATGTTCTTAAGGCCGGGAGCATAATTTATATCTTCCTTTTACCTCTTTTAAGTGCCTTCCTTCAGAGTACTCCAAGACGGAATGATAATGCAATGCTGCTACCACTCAGATTGGAAGCCAGGTTTCTAATTCTCCCACCTATGCATTTATGTGTGAGTCGCCAGCAAGCTGAAGCTTGAAGGATCATTTCATGAAGATTAAACACAAGCAATATCAAGAGAAGTAGTATATACTGACAGCACTCACTGTCAGTTAGACTAGGCCTGATTGCATAGTTTGTCTTTCCTGTGGCATTCCCAAAACCAATGTGGGCAGAATATACATCTCGGGTACCACTTACCTCATAGTAGAGAGTACCTAATTGACATTAGAGAAATAATTCATACTATATGCCAACTCTCTGTTAAAGGACTCATCTGAAAACCACTGGCCTGGCATATCGTAGGTCCTCTGAAAGTCTGAGAAAATGCACACGTACAAAGTCTGGATACCCAAGTGAACTCATCTTGCTCAGGTGTCACAGTGATCACTGGAGATATGACGACTTTAAAGAGTCCCTCAAAGGCTAAAATGTACCCACACCCTGCCTTCTCTTCCCCTTCAGTGAGAGCCCTGAAGGCCCGAAGAGACACTTAAAGGTCCAAGTAAAAGCGCACACCTTCGTAAAGCCTCTCACCTCATCAATTTATATTTAGAGACGAAGGCTTTGCCACACTCAGCCTTCGTGCACTTGAACGGTCGCTCCCTGGTGTGCGAATAACTGTGGATGGTGAACTTCTCCAGGGTGAGGAAGGACTTGCCACATGACTGACAGCGGAACGGAGCCATGGCCTTTGCTCTTCACACCTTCTTTTTCAGATGTGATGAGCAAATGCTGTGCCATTTAAAGCACAGACAGAAAGAAGGTAGGGAGTCGCTACAGCCGGACTCCAGAAAGGGTAGTAGAGGCGGCAGTGCGGCCAAGCAGAGTGTGAGACACAGGAGAGATCCAGGGCAGGAAGGAGATTTTCATCACAATAGTTCGGCGTCCTGAATGGCCGTCTGTGGAGATAAGAGGAACAGTTTTCTCACACCAGCTATTGGAAAACTGTATCCGCCACCACCACCGCTTTGGAGCCAGTGACCCACAATCAGTATGTTTCTTTAAAATGGTTCAAACGGGTCCAGCTCCCCATCCTCCTCTCTTCCTTCCCGCAGTCCTTCATCTGCCCCTGTGTTCCAATGGCTGATGAGACATTCTCCCTTCTAATAAGGGCTGCTATTTTCATAGATCACGGCCATCAGCTTCATGGTTTCGGCTCAGTGTGAGACTCGGTTGATTGATTCAGGGGCAAAAACAAAATCAAAAACACACGCCTCCCTCTTGGTCGTCATCGTGTGTCACTGGTTCACAATGACCACCCTTTTTTTTATTCAAACCATGAGCTTGCCCTCTTTGTGCACCGTGAGCACAAGGGAGGTTGTGGACAACACCTGTTCAAACTCTCAGGGGATGAGAAGAAATCATTTGTATACGTCTCGGTGAATTTGTTTGCGAGATCACTATGCCCAAGGGCAGACCCAAACAAAATATGAGGACAGAGAGCCTCAGCTGCACTGGCGTGGCGGAAGAGAGAGAAAATGTTCATACGGTAAACAAGACTGGTGGTTCCAAGGAGAGCTGGGGCCCGTCACTGCACAAAATCATCCCACATTCCTCAGTTACCCGTGGGGTAGCCAATGATAGGAAATGGGCCTTTTGACTCCTCCAGCTTGTTCTGTCCCTAATCCCAATTCTTATCACCCTTGTAGCCCAGTCAGCATCCCAGAAACCCTGGATCTCCTCCTCTGGCCATAAGTTGAGCTGCCTCAAGTGTGTAAGGTAACATCGTAAACAACACAGCGGACCACTGTTCAACGGAGTCATTTTCAGGGGGGGAGCGGCTAACTTCGCATGTGGCAGTACTTTTACACATTTAGAGTACAGGTTGAAGTGCCCAAATCTGAAAAACTTCGGTGCTCCAGCAACTGAAATTTTCTGAGTTAATTTCTGATAGTACAAGAGGAAATTTTCATACCTGACTCTATAGGACCAGTCACGGTCAAGACACCAATAACTTGAAAACACTCATAAAATTACCTCAAGCTATTGTAGGAGGTGGCTATAAAACTGAAACGTGACTAAATTCCACGCTTAGGCTTAAATCCCACCCACAGGATATCTCATTATGTTATACACAAATACTTCAAAAGGCAAACAACTCTGAACTGCTCTCCCAAGTGCACTAAGGCTTATGTTAAATACATGTGAGTAGCTGTTGTGCACAGATTGGCCTTTAGGGCAAGTCTTTAAAGCTCAGCTGCCTGTAGCCTTTTGGTTATTGCTCTAAGTCTTTAGAGTTGCCATTTATTGGTAAACATTAATTTTTACTTCTCTTTTAAGGTGCCCTCAGATCAGAAGCCTAGGTGGCATGTGAGCACTGGCTGAACTGCCTTTAACTGTAGCAGTACACAGTACGTGTGCACATTATTGCAAGAACCTTGTGTTTTTTCCTGCCCCAGATGGCTTTAGTGTCTGGGCAGAGGTCATTACACAGGGGATATGCTTGTTGTTGCCTTGTTCTATCTGCTTGGAACCTATCCAGCTGACTTCTGTGCTTAGGCCTAAAGATTCCGGACTAGTCTGAAGCAGGGGCACACTGGTGTCCTCAGGCAGTACCTTGGCAACAAGGCTTTATGGTGGCTTTGATTCTAGCGACATGCATGCCCTTAGTCCTCTATTACCAAGTATGATTTTATTTGTTTTTGATTATCCGAGACAGGGTCTCACTTCATAGTACAGGATGGTCTGGAACTCAACTATGTTATGCAGCCTAGACTTGAACCCATGGCAATCTTCATGCCTTGGCCTCCCAAATGCTATGATAATTAGAGTGAGCCACCACACCCCACTCAAGAGTAACTCTAACTGGGTTCCTTCCCTAGCTCTACCCAAAGCCCTCTTGCTCCCACCCCTTATTCCTGTTTCTTATTCTAGCTCATGCCCAAGGCCCTTCCTTGAGTCATCTCCAACAGCTCTAACCACAGATTCTTTTTAGAAATTCCACTGTGTGTGGAAAGCCGTAGTACTGGGCCAGCTTAAGAACACATTCATTCAGTTGAAATTGCCTGATGCTCTTTCCAGGTCTGTTTTTTCAAAGACTAAAACACACATGGATTATACAGTATGAAATGTTTCTTTCTTCCCTCCCTTCAGAGCTAAAATAGCACTGAGCACTCATCACTTTGGAGGAGCCAGTGGGGAGGGCTCTGTACACCCTTCTCCTACTTGCTAGGCACATAGATGGCTCTTTTCAATTTAGCTAAGGAGATTTATTCTCCCCCACCCTTGCTTTAGGAGATGAACAGTGTGCCCAACATAACTTCCTGTGACGGAAGTGTGATACAAACAATGACTACCCCGCACTCCAAACATGCTGCTGGGAAACCGCAATTATCTTAAGTTAGATTTAAACAGCCACGGGCAGCCAGTGGCTACTGTGGGTGACACAGGCAGACTCTTAGATGCCCTGTCAAGAGATGAGGGGAAGCCTGGGCTTTCCTTGCACATGACTATGCTACTGATTAACCCTCAGGTGTTTTGCTGAAACACAAGAGGGATTTAGATCAGTTGTTTTTATTAACATTGGGGGGAAGGGGATGCGGTTCCACAGTTCATACTCCAGCTCTCTCCTGAATTCCAAACTCCTGGTTGATATAATCACATAATATATGTAAAATGGTCTGTGGGGGACAATGAAATGAAACAAAAATGACTCATAATCTTTCCAATTCTGACTGGACAACCTGAAAAAAAAAATCACCAAGTACATAGCAGTTATAGACTAAGAACCAGGTGTCACAGTGCAGCTAGTGGTTCCTGACCATTGAGCTATACGCATGATGGAGCAGTGATACATGTTGTCTCCCGATGCGTACACCATCAATTACTCATCATGGGAGGGACCAGCATGGACCAGACATGTGCAGAACTGAAGGCTTAGCTTCACTGCAGCTGTGAACCTTGAGTGACAACATGTCAGCACACCATGAGAACAGCAGCAAAACAGCAATTCCTCCATTTTGAAAGCTGTCTTTTGACACTACGGTGTGTCCGTCCCAATCTCTAGTTACTTCTTCCCTAGATTCCAAATACCAACAGTCATGGGCTTCGTCCAGGCCATTTCCCCCGGGGCCTTCAGAGACTGGGCACAATCAGAGCTGGCTAGATGTGGCTATGATTTACTTAAGAGTGAGGCAGAGTCCTCCAACTTCAACAGACAAGCTCCTCACAAAATAGAGCCTCCCCCACTCAGCTTAGGTGCTTCAAGAACATATTTCCCTAAAGCTTGATGATATTTAGGTAGTGTTAGACATACCCAGCCTAAATACGAAAGGCAAAACATTCTCAAATGCCGAGCTCATGAACCACACCGTGGTGAACACTCTTTAATTTCTTTGGAACATCTTTAGAGAGTCTCAGCTTCATACTACTAATATTACACTCAACATCTTTGCATATTCTATACACATGGAAACTTAGAACACTGTTTTCATGATATAATCACAAACTTCCACAAAAAAATTTCCCAACCGACAATAAACTCTTTAGACTGAGGATCAAGTCTTACCTATTATAAAAAAAGCTAATCATGTAGCTATATACACCATCTCTCAGCCACCCCTCACCTAATTCATACTAGCTGTACATTCATAATTCTATTCTTCAGTTAAAACTTGATGTACTTAAAATAGACTGTCCACCATGTAGCAAAACATCAATAATTATAACAATTGAAAGACTATCATCCACCAAGAGAGTCAGTATGCCCTGCTTCTTGACATACGGATCCTGCCTTTGAATCTTAAGCATAGTACTATTTCAACACCTGTCACCCTGGAAAGATAGTAAGTCGTACCCCCCCCAAACATCTCAGGACTTAATTTTCAGTCCCCCTGATTCTAAAAATACTGAGTGAGTGATACAGATCTGCCTGTGTGCCAAAGAAGGCTTGGCCATCTGCTTCATTCTGCCCATGCCGAATATTTGAAGGATGAGAGAGGATCAGACTGAAATAAGAATATATATATATATATATATATATATATATATATATATATATATATATATATATGGTAACAGTCAGGAAGACTGTGGTCCCTGGGGGCGAGGGGTATACAACAGTGAAGCAGAGGTCAGAACACAGATGGAGCCCCAGGACTTCCCCAGTGTTGGGAAACACAATCATCTAATGGGGGACGACTGCTTTACAGCATTCTCAAAATAAACCAGGACTTCTGGCTCCTGTGTCCATTGTCCCCAGGAATACAAAGTGAGGCCCATAGCTGAGAGGAAACGAGATTTCCATTTTGGTCTTTCACGGTATATACTCTAAGTTGGTCGGTTGTTTTCATTTGGTCTGGTTTTGAGCAGTACTACTTGGAGTTTAGAAGGTTCTGATCCAAAAATTTCTCTCTCACATTCCCAAGACTTGGGACCATTACCACATGATAAAGATCAGTTTGAAAAGGGTCTTTAACAAGGTTGAGTTTTTGTGTGTTTGCTTACTTCCTCTCGTAGTCACAAACTACGAAGGAGCCACTTGTCAAACAGAAAGGGTAAAAAAATATTTTTTGTATCTGGCTTCAGGGTACTTTTCTCAATTCTTTGAAGGACTGGATATCAAGTCTCTACTGGCAAATTAAAAATACATCCAGACGCATTAGCAGGAGAAAGAGGAAGCCCTGAAGCATCCTATCTGTTACTGCCTATCTTGTACCCTGTGCGCTCATTACATCTGTAGGGTACAGAACTTGAGCAAGGGCAGTGTCAGAAGAGGTCCCACATGCCTTGAAGTGTACACACGTGAGGCTCCTATGCTACCTTACCAGCCTTGAGACACGAGGCCCATAGCAAGGCAGCAGGCCTGTGAGTTCTCTGGAACTCCATGCAAAATTAGCATGTGTACTGGAATTCTTATGGAGAAGAGAGCCATAATTTTCTTTACATTTTTAAGGGGTTC